ACCTTGGCCATAACTTTTGAAAGGTTGGTGCTTCGGCTTTCATATTTCACCTGTGTATTTCTTGGGAGAAGGCCTTTCCTTGGGCACCATTAATTTTGACCATTTGACCTTGATGTTTGACAGACTTTTGAAAAAACGTTAACCTTTTCCTATCTATTCAATTGTTGCTGCTAGGGCTTTCACATTTCACAGATATATTCCTCGAGACAAGACCTTACTTTGGGTACCAACATATTTGATTTACATTTGAGAAAGTTTAACCTTTGTTATAAGTTGCCATACGGGGGGTATCAGTGTTTCACAAACATACATGTATCTTGTTCCTATTGTCCTCGCAAAGAAATTCACTTTTAAAGTATGCATGTTCACTACACTGAGCTGAAAACTGTTTAAAATGATCTCTGCCAAGAAGATGAAAATGAGAGCGTATGTGAAAACTGTGCTTCTTTTACATAAATCGCCGAAGAACTCATCTTAAAGATATGATTTTTAAATGTGAAAAGAATACTAGTCTTAAACGCTGTATACATGCAGTTTTCAGATTGATTCAAAAATTCAAAAGTAAAGAATGAGAGTTAAAATATAAAAGTCAAACTGATCGATTGAAATTTGTAGGGACATCAAAAATTATCAGTGCAATGTGCAACATGATATCTGAATCTACATACAAGGACATTGCTAGAACACTAAGGCCAAACAAAAAAAATATGTGTGGTTCCGGTTACACTTCCAAAAAAATTAGGGTAGGTAGGGATTTTTTTTTTTTTTTTTTTTTAACAAAATGATTTTCTTAATTTTTTCTAAATAAACCTATCACTGCTTTGCAAATGGCATTTAGATGTGGTGTGATAATATACTATTCAATATTGGTAAGGGACACCTACATGCTAGCTTGCTTTGGATTTAACACTATTAAACACTTGCACTATGTTTTGCAAGGAGGCCGTCATTGCTGAAACTAAAACTTAAACTGGATCCATTGATGGAAATCGGGGGAAATTCCGGAAAAAATATGAAAAATGCCCCCAAAAAAGTTTAGGGTCGGGGGTATAAAATAGGGAAGGTCGGGTAACCGGAACCACACATATTTTTTTATTTGGCCTAAGCATTTCATCGTCATAATATTTTATAGAATTCTGACAAAGGAAATGAATATAATAAATAAATAATTCTATCAGATATGTGCCTTATTTTCTTAAAATTGCCTAAGAGAAAAATACGCATTAAATGTGCCAACGGTCTACTTAAAAACAAATATTTTAACAAAATAGAAAAATTGTTTAATTTGCATAATGGATGACGAAACATGGGTGCACATTTTATAGCCAAAAAGGAAGATCAATAATAAAATGTGGAATCAAAGAAAAAAGTTATCTTTCTTATTATTGTGCCCTCTACAAAATTTTAGAATTTTTCAATTTAAAATTTGTACATGACAATTAAATTTAAATTGAAAAAATCTAAATTTTTTAGAGGACACAAGGGCTCCAGGCATATTTTATTTGTTTCATTTTTTTTTCAAGAGGTCCACTAAAACATGTAGATATACACAAAGAAAGGACCATCAATGGTAACTTTTATGTTTGAATTGCACTGAGGAAAGATAAACAGATTTCCTGCAAAGTCCAAATACCGGCCCCAGGGTTATATTCTTGAACCTGGCAACGCTGCTGCAAATAAGCACAATGAAATAAATGAAATTCTGAAGAAAATAAAGTATACAGAGCTTTGCCATCCCCCATATTCGCTAGGTCTCAGCCATTGTGAGATTTTTTTTATTCAAAAAAATGCATGAAAACAACCAAAGGAAGAATGTACAATATTCGATATGCCATGGAAAGTGATATTCCTCAGTGTCCTTGGGGCATCCCTAAAGATAGGTATGCTGAGGTTTTCTGGTCATGTGTACAAAGACTTAAGGCATGTGTAAAGGATAACAGGGATGCCTTGAGGGATTGAAAATGTTTAGAATATGTATAACGCACTTTTCTTACTTTTAGATGACCTATTGCATTATATTTATTGAACGACCCTTGTACTTATTTCTTTCGTGTTTTATTTTGGTGTGGTGATGGCGTGGTTGTTGGAGCGCAATTTCGTTGAGGCACAAAAATGCAAGTGTTGACAAAGATACAAAATATAAATCTAAAAAAAAAAAAACATAAATACAAACAAATATACAAAACAAAACCAAAAACCCCCAAACAGGCAATGAAAAAAAAAAACGCAATATAATACATTAGGAACCAGTCTTACGCAATATAATACATTAGGAACCAGTCTTGTTGCAAAATCTTTCATTTACAACATTTCAATAGTTTTGGTAATACTGACTATATTCTAGCTGCTCTGATTTTGATTGTATTTCATTTTTGAGACACTAATCTCATAATTTGCTTTCTAATCTTCCCCAATAAGGCCAAAAGGAATGATTTAACGTTGTGTTGAGGGAAGGAGACAGAACTTTTATTTATTTTTTTTTTTAAAAGTTATGATTTATTTTATTAATTAATTTATTGATTAATTATAATTGGCCAAAAAGGTGTTCTGTCCATATCAATATCAATTGCTTCAAATTTGTCGTAGGAGAATTGCATATTATATTCATTTGCATACCAATGTATTACCTTTGCTGTTGTAAACTGTACAAACGATTATTAAGATGAACAAACGATTTTAAAAACTGTCCAAACGAATTTCGTATATACGTATATACGATTTTTTCAAAATCTTACAAACGATTTTAATAAATTTGTAAAACGTACATACGATTTTACTTATTTTTTTTTTCTGCAAAATTGAAAAGACACTTATACGCCGACGTTTGTATTCCTTTTTGCTATATTCCTGCTCTCAATATCCATGAATTTAAAAAAAAAAACGCGATTAAAACACAGTAAATACTTATTGAACTCAAACGCCGACATTAAAGGCTTCAAAAGAAATATAAGGAAAACCATAAACCTGCGAAAGAAATCCCCAAACCAGCACTATCCACTAGAAGAATCCTCCTTAATCGGTATCTCTATGTTTTATTCATATATATTTTTTGTCTCTATTTATTTAAATAGAAGAATAATTATATTTTTTTCAAATATTTTCTAAATTTTCTAAAGCAAGCTTCAATTTTCATACTGAATACATATATTTTTCGGCGATGGAACATTTTGCTTTGGTAATTTTCATTTCATTTTTCCCCCTTTCCATGAACAAACACTGATAGTCATGTATGACCTTCAGAATATATTTATGAGATGTTTTGTGGTCATGAACTCTTTATCCTTGTTTATGCATTAATTATGAATTTATCATGTTAATTTGATGGTCCGGTTAATAATTGACCTAGGCATTGTTTCTGGGAGTCCTTGTTTCTGCCCTTTTCACGACTTGTATTTTTTATAGGATTCGTCAGATTGATCATTGTTCTTTTCATTACATTGACGTAATGCTTGTTTTCTTTAATGAAAGAACGCTGAATAAACAATTCCGTGTGCAATCATACAACGCGTGCAAATTGCTGTGTACCCACAGTGTATTTGAATTCATAAGAATATGCCAATTTTTAGCTCTACTGGTCAGAGACCAGAAGAGCTTATGCGATAGTTAGGTATCCGTCGTTCGTCTGTCTGTAAACAATTTTCAAATGCTACTCCTCCTACAGTTTTGGTCTGATTTCAATATAACTTTGCAGACAAGTAGAGTACATAAGATACATAATTTATTGCATCGGTTTTTGATTTTGATGAACGGTCTTGCCATGGTTACTAAAAATAGAAATTTCTGTGAAATTCCTTTAAAACGCTACTCCTCCTAAAGTATTGGTTTGATTTCAGTATAACTTGGCACACAAGTAGACAACACTAAGATAAATAACTTAGTGCATCTGTTTTTTGATTTTGTTGAACAGTGTTGCCATGGTTACTAAATTGGAAATTTCTGTAAAATTTCTCTAAAATGCTACTCCCCCTACAGTTTTGGTTTAATTACTTGGCACACAAGTAGACTACACTCAGATACATAATTCTGTGTATCGATTTTTGATTTTGGAGAAGTTTTGCCATGGTTACTAAAAATACAAATTTCTGTGAAATACATTTAAAATACTACTCCTTTCATTTAATTTTAATGTAACTTGGCAGACTACACTAAGATACATACTTGTCTTTATCAGGTTTTTTTGATTTTGATGAATGATGTTGCCATGGTTACTAAAATCAAAATTTCTGTATAAATCTTTTGAAAAGTTACTCCTCCTACAGTTTTAGTCTGATTGCAATAAATCTTGCTATGAAAAGAGACTAAACCAAGGATCAGTACTCTATTTATTGCTGTTGCAAAGTTTCCCAAGTGCTACTTTCCTTTTCCTTTGTTATAAATACAAACCAGTAGAGCTTCAGTCTCATCAGAGATCTAGACTTCTAGTTGTTTTAGGGTTATCACTGTACGGCTAGGAAAAAAAAAAGCAGTATGGCCATATACACGTACGATGTAAAACGTTCGTGATTAAGACATGAAGAATCGTTTTACTATTTGGTTAGACATACACGTAAAGGAAGATTTGTATTTATGAAGCATTTACAAACTTTAGTTCGTAGAATTTTAATTTACAGACGGTCTCGTTTTTGCTTTGCGATTTTTTTTTCTGTTTACGAAGCAAAATAACGATTCATTCGTGTATATATTTATGTGATAATTATAGACAAAAGTGTTCCAGTTTTCAATTAATCATAAAATTGTGGTCAGCATAAAACGTCATCATCGTGTCAACACCAGACAAATGGACGTCCCTACGCTGGACAATTTTATTTGTAAACAGGACGATGGTGTATATATAGAGGCTGTCGAGTTTCAATTTCAGACTAAAACAGATACCAAGGTAACCTATTCTTTTAAGAAATAAGCCAAGACGTTTTACATGTACATTTGTGCAAGTTGGTAAGTTATAATTTTGTTCCCTTTTTTTCCGAAAAACAGTTTTTTTTTTATTTCCGCAGTAAATTATGATGTTCCTAAGAAGCTGTGTTTTGGTTGCCATTGCCGCCAAATGTTTTGCCGGTCCCATGTCCCAGGGAGATTTAGAAGGTGAAAAATGACTTATTTTGATTTTCTAACCATCCACCATATTATCAGATTTTTTCATTTCATAATGTATCATATTTTGAAAATGATTTTTATGGTTTCAGAATTTGATAAAAATGTGCGAGTGAAATTAGCGGTTAAGGTCGCGGAAAGTTTTGAAACTCTAACACAACAAATATCAAAACTTAATGGTGATTGTATGTCTAAAATCAACACCACCATTGACCAGTGTGCTTCTTGTAACAGGTAAGTCATTACCAGTCATTCTCGACCTTGTAACAAGACATTCAAATCGCGAGAGAGAGAGAGAGTTAAAATTTCGTGGACTTTAATTGCCTGTCGCTTTAAATAAGAAAAAGGTAAAATAATTCATACTTGAATATAGATATATCTTTTATAGAAAAAAGAAGCAGTATATGGGAGTTCTCAATGTCGGATCAGTTTTGAGTGTTCCAGTTTCTGAGGGCACAAAACTGGCAAAGACGATTGCAGAGTCGCTCTCCAAAGAAAGTGTGCAACAATTTCTGGGAAGCAACTTAAGATCTGTGCTGAAAACGCTAAAGGGGACATTTATTTCCATAATCAAAAGTATGTATTTAGCTTCTAAGTCATTTCTGAGTCCTTTTTATACAAGTCCCACAAGTAATAAAAAAGAGATATATTTCAAGCATACATGTACATGTATATTTTTAAAGAGTAAAACTAGATTTTAGTTAACATTAAAATATCATTGGTAAATGTATAAGGAACGAGTTCGTTCACTATGTCTAATATTTTTGATCTAGATACATTCGGTTAACAGGCAAGAAAGGTTACCAAGAAAAAAATATGAAAGACACTAAAAAAAATGCACGTTTTTAAGTGTTTGATTCAAGTCAGAAAACTTGTGAAGTTAATCAACAATGGCTGATCTCGTAATATATTTTTACCTAGTATTATAATGGCTATTTATCTCATCTACCATACAGTTCTGTAAAAGCAAACAAATCATTTGAGCAATGGAATATTTTTTTTTTATTTGCAGATAAAGATATAAGAGAAATCCCGATGTTTTTCAATAACTTTCAGAAAAATTTTGCAAGTCTAAGAAATTCCATTTTAAACCTTCCATCAACCTTTAATAATTTGGTCGGAAATATCGGCAGTGAACTGAGTAAGTAAAATTAACTGTGGCATATATTTACACAGATACACATCACGTTATCCATAAAAAACTGATTTACATTGTATATATGTTACACTGTATATTTCATTCAAGCGGAGTAATAAAATAAATCATAACTTTTTAAAATATAGATTTATTCAATAAATTAGCTTCAATTCTTCGTTTACTCCCTCAGGAAAGCTAAGATTCTGGAGAAAAAAGCGATCAGCAGCCTGTTCTGCTTGCGACCAGTTACAATCAGACGATTCGACTGTTGTAATAGCTAATGGTATGAAGAGTTTTATTTCTTTTTTTTTTTCTTTTTTTTTTAAAAATGTTGATATTCAGTTACAAGTTGTTTAATCGTTACATCTGTATATGAGATAGTGAATTTACTTATAAAACTGCTAAAATTTATCACTTGTATCCCTCTACACTTCGTTTTCAAGGAACGTTCCATGAAAGTATAAATACATACATATTTACATTTTCACAGTATGTGGTGCTGATGCAGCCAACGGTTTGGCGAATCTTTCAAAGAGTATAGAGAATCTACAACTTTTATATGAAGACGCCATTAATGGCACTGTACTCACAGAGGTGTGTGTTCGATTCCTTCTTCTAATTCAATTTAAAACGTAGAAAAAATATCCCAATATATCTGCATATACTTTTTATATATTACATGAAAATAAATAGTCAATTTTGTGTATTTTAGATACATACCGGAACGCCTCAGATGACGATGTCTCCGTCCTTGTCTGTCTCGGCTGACCTTGACCACATCATATACAGCATTGAAACAACGACAAAAACACTGGCCGGAGTGCCCGGCGAGAAGATAATCTTCACAGATAAACCAGCATCGTACGCTATGCTGGCAGATAAAATATATAATGACTTTGTGTGAAAATCCTAAATGTGAATAAAAATTTATGTGCGAGTGCCTGACTATTTTTTGTTTAATGTTCTAAAGCATTTACGTTTCTAAATAAAACCTAAAATTTGAATTATAAAAGTTTTATTTTTTATGAGGTGATGTGGGTCATTTGTAATTAATATACGTACATGTAGATCTCCTGTATTTTGCACTGCTGTCATGTATTTATAGGAAAATAAGAATGAAATCGCCATTTTCTCTAAACAGGGAAAAACCTTCTGTTCTTGGAATATGCTACAATATAGAAATATAATTTTATAACGATGATACACCTCTTAAATATCCTTCATTTTTTCGTTTGTTTTTGTTGAAATTTAATTAAGATTTTGAAAGCCTTTATTCAATAAATAAATAAATAAATAAATAAATAAATAAATAATGAAATAAACAATATTATTAGGTTCGATGACATGTAACATATGATGTCTGTGAATAAAAGCATAGTTCCTGGCTTGTGGCAAAATCATGACCTATTAAATGAAGTTTGTCACTTAATATGACAATCAATAAATAATTTGTTATATTATTATATAATATAAAAATCACCTTCTAAATACCGATAGCTAAGTACATCATAATTATTTCATTGAGAGCATTCAAATCAAGATCAACAAATCTGTCTTGCAAATGAACTCTTTTGTAATATAATTTTTTTTAACTTACCACTTACTCTAGATAATTTATCTAGATAGGAAAAAAATCAAGACTTTTCAAATGTTTCGTGGACTGGTTCGAAACAATTAAAATATATAGGCTATGCTTACAGAATTTACAAGAAATGCGAAACAAAAGGTTTAAAAGTTTTGAACATTTTAGCTTGAAACATTGATTTTTTGCCGATTTATCAATAAATACAAAAGACATGGTTACCCGGTGCTTTATGACGTTTGACAACGTCATAACATCTTTAATGTCCACTCCCTCTGCCTCAATACACTTTCTTTGACCACCCTAGCTGGAGTTAAATAAAGGCTGAATCCCATCTTGTTTATATGACTTTAAAATTTCATGAACAGTTGATTTCAAGGCAATGTAATACTACTACACAAACAAAAAGATCCTCACTTGACTGTCAGCTAAATCTGCTCGTCGGAATTCAATTTCTGCCACACACAAACAACATTACTTTAAAAAAAAAGTTATCTGGATATCTGGATTAACTTGAACATCCATGATAATCCTTAGAATTACAAAATTTAAGGAACCACAACATACATTAATCTCAAATAAGTTTGAAATGCATGAATATAAGAAATTACCCATTGAAAGATCCTCATGATGTAAACATATGTAACCTGTTTACAGAACAAAAGAAAACTCATTGTCCTCCTTGAACAAAAGACATTGTTCTCTCTTTCCAATTAATACCAATATTTAAATAAGTTGTCCATAGATATAGAACAGCTTTGTTTGTCATTTTCTATATATATCACGATTTTCTCTTCAACTACGTTATGCCATGTAAAAAAATTAAGGACATTATATAGGTACAAAATTTAAAAAAAAAAAAAAAAAAAACCACCCAAGGACTGCAATGATTAGTAACAGGTTGGTCATGAAGTTGATGGAGATATTTGATCAAACATTTCACTAGGCCATCTTTTTCAGCAATGATTGATGATCAATACAAATGTTGAATCGCTCCCCAGTGGCACTCGATGTTTGAAATATAAATCACGACTGAACTCAATGCAGCACAAAATATCACCTTTATTGTATAAATATTGAATTCAAAAGAAATATTCATTACATTGTATTTCGTTCGGATCGGGTTTTGTAAGTAGTTCTTGTTCATTTTTTTTTTTATAGTTTAACATTGTAAAATTTGAATAATTTACATGGAAGACATCCAGTACATGTACATGTAGTCAGTTGGTTAAGGATATTTTTCATCTATCACAGGGTGAATTATAAAATTAGTTAACAAAAGATGAGAACCTAGATTTTGAATATTTCGCAACAAGACACACATGACGAAACAGTTATGTGCATCTGTCAAAACACCACACTCGACTTAGGTTTTCCCAAAAAATCTAAATTGTTAATTAAGTCGCTCCTTCAACTTTATCAAAACATCCGCAATTAAAAACCATATAAAATGATCAAATATTTTCTTTGTCTTAATGTCATAGATAGACTGTATACGAAAAAGGCTCGGGTTTAACTTCATGCTGATATTGAATATTTTAATTCTTATTCAAATCGCTTATTGATTTAAAAAAAAACAGACTTATAAAAACCAAATATTAGGTACATGTACTTTAATACCTGAAGCTTGAGGAAAAGTGTGTAAAACGATAGGATTGCTTAGTTTTTCGATTTTTTTTTCAGGTATGAAAATGATGATCGCATTGGTATTTCATGCTTTGGTCTTGTCTGCAAGTCAGGGATTGAAATTAGGCCAAGAAATTGAAAGTAAGAAAAATCTTCTAGGCTAAAGGTATTTGCATATGTTTATGTCGAAAAATTACATGACAAATGTACAGCTTCACATTCGATAGTTAAAAAGTATTTTTATGTCAATTTTAGAAGTTAACGAGTTTGCAACAAAGGAAATGATAGCTGAAATGACTTCAGGAATCACTAGCCTTGCAAGACGGATCCAAAACAGTAATACCATATGTATTGACGAAATCAATAGAATTCGTAACTACGTCTGCGCTAAATGTACCGGAAATCCGTAAGTGTTATTTATTTATTTTTTGTTTGAAGATGGGGACAATACATGCTTAATTTCCAGTACATCTTTTATTCGACTACATGTGATTTATTGTTTTAGAAAGTTTTAGAAATATGCAATAGAAAATAATATTTCTATTTGCATAAAGTCTCTGAGAGTTTATGAACTAAACATGTGTTTGATATTAATCTTTGCGTCAAGGGTTCAAGAACTTGCCTTTCCACAATGTGTTGTTAATTCACACATTGACTTAAAAATTTCAGTGTGTTACCATCTCTGACCGATATAAAACAAAATATAAACAGACCAGTTCCAAAGATTTTACAGCTCTTTTATGATTTGTTGGACGCCTTAACACCAGATGCTATAGAATTAGTAGGAGAACGCAAATACATGATGGAAGAAGACTTTGGAAGAATGGCTGAGTATCTGAAATTAGCAACAAAACCTGGTAAATAATTTTTTTTATCAGAAAGTGAAAATCGAGGACGATTAACTTTCTTATTATTAATTAAGCTACTTATTGATTAATGTCCCTGAAAACAAATAGGAAGGGACTATTATATCATCATTATACAATGTTCATATTTTATATTATGGTAAAGATGCAAAGTATTACTTTTTGAAACCTGAAATTCATATATTGAATTAAAAAACTTAATCTTTCCTTCGATTTAAAATTGTTTTTATTAAATTCTGAAATCCCATTATCTCGTTTAATTAATGATATCTGAAATTTTGAAGAACTGGGTACACCGCTCGAAGAATCAATACGCATCAGCCAAGAAATTGATTTGAAACTAAGAAATGTTACAAATAACTTTCATCAAACTGCAGGTAAGAGAGAGAGAGAGTTTCAAATATTTTCCTTACTGAATACATCATTTTGTCTTGTTTATCTTTAAAAAAGTAAACACATCTTTTTGATGAACTAAATGACAATTATATTCTGTACTTATTCTGTAAACTACGGAAGCCCGTTGAGGCCAGTTCAGAGAACGAACTATATTTTACTGCGTTCAAACGCAATTATTTTTGCGTTAAAATTCTTAAGATTGTTTCAGTGGACTTTTGAGCTTGTCTTCTGTTCCTTAGCTTCATATTTCATATTGTTTGATAGATGTTGCAGGAAGACGTAAAAGACAATCTACTACCACTATAATTAGATCTTGCTCGCAGTGTGATGGACTGAACGGTGTGGGCATTGAACAATACATTGATATAGGTGAATAGAAAGTGTTCTATTGTAACATTTTTTTGCTATGACTGAGTTTAGACTTAATTATCTGTACATTGACGCAACAGATACATGCAAATGCGAATGATTTACTTGTTTTATTTTTGTGTGTGCAAATTTCAAACAATGAAGTAATAACTCATTCATATTTAGGGATATGAAAAAAGAACTTGCATTTAGCTTAGTGAAAATCAAATTTTTAGAATTTCTTTTTTCTTTTTTAATTCAACACCATTTCCATTAAAATTAATACGATTATGTAAATCACTTATGTGACATATCTGTACCCGTCCGTTTAGAGCTCTCGTGAAGAACCGACCTTCTTTAAAAAGACTGAACCATTTTCAAGTTGGTTAATAGTGTCTGAGAGTAAAAAAAACAAAACAAAACAAAACAAAAACAAACAAACAAACAAAACAAAAAGCAACCAAAAAAAAAAAAACAACCAAAAAGCAACCAAAAAGCAACCAAAAAAAAAAAAAAAAAAAAAACAACCAAAAAAAAAAAACAACCAAAAAAAAAAAAGGTGACTTTCATTGATTTTGCGCTTGTCAGGGACCCAAGGGATTGAGGAGAAAAAAATCTTGCATAATGAAAAAAGAATCTTTTCTTATTCTGATTCCCTAGCAGGTAAACTGTTTACATAATAATGATAGGAAATTCGCTCTAATCAAAATTTCAAAATTCATTACTTTTTAACTCATATCTCTGGCCCAGGGAAAAAACTAAGAAATGAATCTTGAAATGCTTTGCTCTAGAACATCTAGCAGACAATGACAGCCGAACTTGATGTACATGTAGATAAACAAGATACATGTTTTACCCTCTAATTTTATGTGTACATTTTCCTGAAAATCAAACACACACTTTATTCAAAATCTTTGCTTCTAAAAAACAAGTACTTTAAAAATGTCAAATATGAAATGAGCAATTGATTCTATATCAAACCAAAGAAACTACATTCTTTATGTACCGGTCATGGTAGCCTAGTGGTAGGGCGTTCGCTCCGTGATCAGGAGAGCAAAATTCGATTCTTGTTCACCGCGCCGCGTTAAACCTAATTAAGATTCGAAGTAAAAGTCATGGGTAGATCTTGAAAACCGAGTTAGTGACTCTTCCTTCGCCAAGTTCCCGGTACTAGAAGTAAAAGTCACGGGTCTTTTGGATGAGCCTTAAAAAATCGTGGTCCCGTGTCACGACAGGCATGGGTAAGATAAAGAAAAGTGACTGCTCAATGGTTATGAGAAGAGGTCTTAATTTGAAGCCCTTTACCAGTATCTGATTATGTCTCGATATGAGTGAAAGATTCTCGAATGAAACGTTAAATCAACGTGCAGTCAAACAATCTATACATGTATGTTTGAAAAAAAAATTTACTATATATGCCAAGAAGTAGTAATATGTTTAATAATTCTAACTAGGTCAAGATAAGTTTTTGAAGCTTCATGGTTTCAACAGAGGGACATTAGGACATAAAAAATAATATATCATTTATACGGAAAGGGCTTTTATAGCATAGGGACTCAATGTCCGAAGCAAAGACTTTTATACATAGAAGTATAACGTGAGCAATAATATTGTGTGATCATAATCATAAAAAAAGCTAAGACCGTTGTTACTTATATTTACATTTTCTCCTGATCCTAGATCCAGTAAAAAAATATTTACGCTCCTTTTTTTAAATAATTAAAAAATTAAATGCTCATATTTATTTATTCTAGTTTGTGGATCAACCCTTTTGTTAAACATCGACAGCATTATGGAATTGGCTGACCGGTATCGACTAATATTAAATACAACATTGAATTTAAATAATTACGACCCAGTAATTCAAGAAGTAAGAAATAGTTCTTTAAAACTTATATTGGTTTCTTTTAAATTCCAAATGATTGATAAATACATGTATCTTTAACGTAAACACCAAGAAAGGTAATTTTTTTTACTTTAATTATTAATATATGAGGTCATGAGAAAAATGATATCTTTTTGATCTTGACACATTTATATCTATATTTTTTTCAATATCTCATTTTAGGTGGAATTTGATGAAAAAAGTGTAATATATCAACTTACACCATATTTCAGCGTTGTAGCTGATATCACTAGCTACAAGTATAGAATAGAGCAAAGCACATACACCAAAAGTTTAACACCAGTTTCTCTCCATTTCAACAACTTAAACGAAACTGCCAAGTTTTTAGCCGGAGAAATTATGGAGAAACACGTATATAGTCCTGGCACGGGATTTGGCTTTGCATAATAATCATTCAAGTTTCAGGTTTCTTTCATCAATGATCGAATCTGTGTAAATACATAACAGAATAAAATAAATTTTCCAATATTCGAAAAAAAAGACATTTTAATTTTTTTTTTGGGAGGGGTGGGGGTTTAAAAGCGAAATACTGCCAATAAATCCAGTTTTTCCTTAGGGAATGGTAATGTACCGGAACTACATGTAATTAATTATAAATTGCCACAAAAACCTAAAGAAAGGTATTAATCTACCAAAGAAGACTGTCTCAACACGAATCCCACAGTTCTTGCCGCTACTTAGTACGTAATGTTTCTGTATCATGTGCAAATATTTAATTTAGAATGAAGAATCATTATTTATTGAAAATAATGCGATCATATTCGCTTAATTATCACCCCTCGCAACGGAGTTGTAGGGGATATAGTAACGCGCTTGTGTGTGGTGAGGGAAGGGGTGGGGTGTGAATGGGTAAGTTTCTCCTTGTGTGCGTAACGGAAGTGCCGTAATTTGCAGGATCAATGTCATATGCTGCCTTGATCTCAAGGTATGCTCTTTTGCGAAGGCATGCTCCGCTTTGCCCTTGTTAATCTTTACATTCACTGAATATGTTTTTCTTTATTTCTTAAGAAAGCCATTGTCGTTCATTAGTCAGTAAAGAACATTGAGCATATTACTTGTAACAATTTCTTGAGCAGTGACTTTTCCAAGAATGAAATGTACATCAGTGTCACAATGATGAATCTGTTGAATCTTACTTTAGATGATTATTTGTACAGATTTGTTAGTATGGAAATTAACGTTGCAGCTATTGCAAAAAAAAAAAAAAAAAAAAAAAAAAAAAAAAAAAAAATAATACATAACCCGCTTACCATTATCATTGGATTGTATTTTGACTGACATATTTCAAACCAATCGTTTAACTTTTGCCTTTATTTTAATACTATATTTGACGTTGGAATATTAAACTTACATATGTGTGTATGTTTGGGTGACATGAAACTTTCTTCGCCTCTGAAAAATCAGATTGCCCGAGAGGAAATTTAAATGCTTTTTCACAGGCGAAGTAATCTCCATGTCTCCCGAACATACATGTACATGCGATATTTTTTTTTTTATTATACCGAATCAAGCACAATGTATGAGATATAAATAAAATCAAATATTTACTGAGATCAATGTGAAATAGATACAAGTCATACCTCTAGCCACGCTCTATGAAAAAATATAGTTACGTTCCTACGTGACAATTCTATGTGATTTATAAACCAGTAACATTCATCCCCACCCCACCCTAAAACATCATTCTATTTTTTTTTAACGTTTGAATCGACACAATCAATCAACGATATGAACAAACAAACTCAGAAGATACCATCTCAGTTGCTTCATTGTGACGATACAATAGTGACACACGACATTTTGGTGCAGGGCGAACATGACGGTCACGTGATATTCGCGACCAATTAGATTATGTTTAGCTAGTGATTATTTATATGAGGTATAAAAAATACATTTATTGCATGTGCATAATAGAAATATGAAGATTTATACAGCCAAGAAAAACCATATTCCTTGATGCCGGAGAGCAATCCAAGCCTTCAAAAATGAACACAGAGTTTCAAATTCGGCACAGCTATAAATTCACTATCAGTTAAAAAAGTCTATGAAATATTTTACTGAAGTCCTTTCGACATTCACAGACAATTGTCTTTGATTTCATTGTTTTTATAGAATCCTTATTGAAAAGAAGATCCATAATTTCATGACTGCTTGAGAGGTGAATCATTTTTACTGTTGTAAATTTTGTGAGGTTTGCTGCTTTCGGGAGTTTCCGTTGAACGAATAATAATTATTGCGGAAAAATGCCGGTTTTTCCGAAGAATTTCAATATGATGAACAGTGAAATCTTAAAAAGTTTTAAGACCCTGTCACGTGACTGTCTCTAACCAATCAAATAATGCGGCGTTGTATACAATAATTATAACAAGGTATAATAATCCGTCTACTTGATCTTCTTCGTATATTCATAATGTTCATGATGGGAGAGACTGTGGATGCTTACTCCTTCTATTCACCTAATTCCACCTTTGGAATTTCAAGAAGTCCGTGATTTATGCCGTTTACAGATTTGTATTGTTTGTGTTTTTCTAGGTCGATAACCTCACCGTTCATTTATAAACATAAAAAATAATGTTACAGAAACTATCAAACCATAATCTATGTGAAAAGTATGTAAGAAAACAAGATGTGTTTGTGAAACACTATGCACCCGGCGGCAACAAAGTTCGGAAAAGCTATTTTTAGCATATAGGTCACAGTCAAGGTCACAAGGTCATTGACCTTGGTGTCATTTGAAAGAACTTAATGAGTGGAGTAAACATACCAAATATGAAGTCTCTCTCTCTCATTCAAAAGTTATGGTGAAGGTTAAAGTTGACAACAGAAAGACAAACAGACAGACAGGACAAAAACAATATGCGCCCCCGATCTATCGATCCGGGCGCATAAAAATATTGCTTTCCATTTGTTGTAGGAGAAAAGTAAAAAAAAAAAAAAAGAGAGAATATCTTACGTACAGAACATTTTATTAAAAGATTATACAAAAGCTTTCAGAAAGAATGAAGAGAATATAATAAAAATACAATGACATAGCATTCTGTAAAATTTGGTAAATAATCTACAGTGATTTTCAGTGTTTTTTGAATATCATAAAGCAAGGAAAATATTTCTATATTTGTGTGTATAAATATTGCTTTGGGAAAATACTATGGTCCAATCAATTTAAAAGAATGATGTTTTCTTAAAGCAATTACTTTTTAAAACTTTCATAATCCTCTTAATATTATTTTCAATCTGTTTCTTCTGTATACTCCTCTCTCTTCAGATCTAACTTGCTGTTTTGCTGGGTATCTCCTTATTAAGAAAAACACAAACATGTATATAAAATCAATGAATAGTTATCATTTGTCAATTTAAAAATGAAGCGAAATAAAGTTTACGTTTGAATATAAACCATTTATGTTTCAATACTATTGTAATGATAGTTTGAATGAAAGTTTACTTCTTGAAAATGAAAAAAAAAATCGGTTTCAATACTATTGAAATGATTCGATTTCAAAACTTCCTTCACTGCGTATGATAGTTTAAAATCCAATAAATTGCATGAAGATGATCAAAGATATGAAAGGGTATAAAGAAAAAAACCCACACCTATCAGGTCCCCAGTGCATACTTCCTCATACAAGTCCATGTACTCCTCTTTTGTTACGATATCATCTGTGGGTAGAAAATTGTGATTTCCTCGATATTTTTTTTTTATTCAGTGAAATAGTAATCTAATAAATATTTCGGGCGATTTTACTATAGAGTTATAAATCAAAGATCAATGTGATTTAATATATGTACTTTATAACCTTAATAAAACATATTTTTCTGTAATCATAAATATCTCTAGATCTGCTAGTTTAAAGGTTACAAAAATGCAATGGAGCTATGTCTACCGGGTAGATTTAAGATGACGTATTATTATTATAATTTATCTGATTACTTGTAAGCACCATGCAAAAATATATTTCAATAAGGACAAATTATGTTTAATATACACACCATTGTTTTGATCTAACTGTTCAAATAGTTCCTCCAGCTCCTCTAACCCTGTGCTTTGCATCAGGGTGTCTAATTCCTCCTTGGTAACAGTGTTGTCGTCATTCAGATCAACAGTGTTGAATCTACAGATATCTACATCAGGTATTACCTGGACAAAAGAAAGAATAGATATATATTATTGTTTTTTTTTGTTCCTTTCATATTGAAAAGAAAAAATATTTTATAGAATTTTTTTTAAAAATTAGGACCCCACCCCCTTTTTTAAAATAAAGTAGATTTATTGATGCAAATGTTTATAGGCTTTGTTCTTTGGTTTTTTTTATGAATAGCATTCGAATTCGTCAATGTTTTCAAGTTTTGGGCAAATACGTTTTACATATCCCCCGCATTTGAAAAACTTTAAAAACTTTTTATAATAGACTTCCATTTAAAAAAGGAATAAAAAAGAAAAAAAGTGAAATTGATGGCAAATATCAGGTGTGTATTTATCAGCTGCACCACATATCAAATGTTCATAATCATACTCCGTGCAATTGTTGACTTTATGTAACCTCACATTATTTTCCTTTCATATCAGAAAAAAATAGAACAACTTAACAAAGTGACATCGGGTATAAAAAGTTAAAAATAAGAAGGAAAACGATTTAAAAAATTAAAATTGATATTATAAGAATTTAGGAGTATAAGTACGTTTTAATAACTAGTATACAAGAATCTTCAAACATACGCTTTCTGCTGATCGCTTTCTGTCTCTCCGAAAAAAGTCCCGGAATCTTCTTGCCATGCTAGCCACTGTTATCACAGTGCCTGCAACCTTTATTGCTCTACCCAAACCTCTACTCAAACCCCTGGATCTAGAAGAACGCCTCCGGGTCCACGATTCTGTTTGGTCAATTGTCATAAGACCAATCAGGCAAAAGACAGCGAGGTAACGGAAGATTAGCTAATTAAAAAAATATTCAATCAAAAAAAATATATTAATGATATATGCAATACGAAGAACATTAGAAAAGCAGCATGAAAATAATTGACGAGCAAGTTACTTTACGAAGACATTTGCACACGGTTTTTGAAAAAAATGCAATATGAATACTATTGTATTAACTTTGATTAAAATTTTGGCAAAACAATTTTTTTCTGAAAAATAAACACGTGAAATATTCACAAAATTACAATAGATATAATATAGAAAACAAGGTAATTTGGCATTGACTTATTCTCTACCATATCAAATTGAGGAAAGTAAAACTTTATTAAAAAAGCAATTACCATGACTTCAGATGATGCGTCTCACCTCTAAGATGAAAATGAATGTTTAGTGGACTTATTTATATTGATGGAAAACTTCCTCGTTAAAAGAACAATGACATCACAACTTCGGCATCAACTAAAACATCTTGCATCTACTTATTATCTACTTACAACTTCCAAATAACTTGTTTCTTATCAAACTTATTTACTTGTTTTTGGCGTGATAATCTTCATTGCTACTTTAAAATGAGTTTTATGAAAGTGAAACTACTTGAGAAACAATTCTTAGAAAGCTGCTTTTTGAACGATGTCAAAATTTGTAACATGTTAGAAGCATGTAACATAGAAATCCCGTGTACACTATATTATAAGAATTTCATAGTGTGAAAATTTCCAGTACGAAAGCCATTTATTGTTAGAAAGGATGTATAATATTTCTATTTTTTCCCGATGATTTATAAAAAAAAATTAAGTTTTAAGACAATATGAGTTAGGTGAAGGAATGTCGATTGCTTGAACATATCATTTTCACAATTTCATGAATATATATTTAAGTCTATTTCGAAACAAAAAAGTTGTGTATCATTTATAATAAACAATTCACCAAAACATTTGAAAAAATGTCTTTGAGAACGGTAGACTAAATTACACAAATAAAGAGCACGGTCACGCTACAAGGTATTTATAACATCCGACGACTTGAGTACCTATCAGCTCAAGATCATAATAAGCAATGGAATATTAATATAATTGGAGCAGTTTGAGTTTGTTGTAGAAGATAGAACTTATCGCTTGTAAAATCCTTATTTAAAAGAAAATAACGAAAATTAGCAGAAGGTGTATACTTATATAACTTTCCAATTAAAATATGTCCGAACATTCAATCGATAGTTGCAATGATTTGTAAATCTATCAAATAAAATGATAATTAGACATGTGTTGCACGCTGGATTATTTGAAAGCCTGGTTAGAGGCATATGAGAGTTATATTTAGTCTCCTTCCCTATCTATTCTCATTAAAAACAATCTAAGTTGTAAAACCCATATATAAAATAATCAATTTTATTGCTCAAAATTTATTGAGATGAAAGTCTCATTAACTTTATTCAGTGGCTAACGAGAACTGGGTACTTCCAATGTTTTAAAAAGAAGAGCATGCAGTGTCTATGTTTTGCTATGCAAAGCTCCAGATGTTTCTAGAGGAAAAATAAAATAATAAAATAGGAGGTGGAAGTTGACACTTTATAATAAAGATTCTATAAAGGTCTCATTTGTTTTATTCAGTGACATAGGAGGAATTACGGATGAGAGATAGGTACGTATACCCACAATTTTATACATGTAGAAAAAGGGCATCGTCTATGCTTTGCTATGGGAAACCCGGAATATCTGTCTAATTGAAACGTAAAATAGGCCACAAAGGCACTTTGTTTTAAAGTTTCTGTGAAAGTCTCAAAATTTTTAGGCAGTGATCTGGACGGATATCCGGAAATGTGATGGGCGTACCAAAGTATATGGGGCACGCAGACGTACACATCCCACCTCGATCCATTTAAAGCAGTGGGTATAAAAAGTGAGAATCGGGAAATTTTATGTCTATGAACATTGAGATACCAAATTGCTTGAGTATCTTTTTTTTGCAGATATCGACACAACACCATACAACTTGTCACTGGTATAGATATTTAAATCTATTGCAAATACTCAAGTCCTAGTTTGTAAGCAATACAAAAACAAATTTGGAATTGAGCAGTACATGTACCATACATGGAAAGACTTGATTTTTTTGCAGTCCTTTAATCACTTTATAATAATACAAAAAAGCAATCAAAAAAGTCTTACTTATAAAAAAAATAATTTTACATGGTGTATATTTACTAAGTAATCCTTAACTATAGGAAATCTGAAACTTGAATTATAATTATGCGAAATTGTTTAAATAAAGAAAAAAAGGTATTGAATTGGTGGGGAATGCTGTTACTACAAATCCAGTGCATTTAATATTTTATGTAAATAGTGACTAGTAATAAGATTGACGACTTTCTTATCAATAAACTTTGAATTAAAATGGATTCTTACCAGGTATTTTATATTATTAGCTCAACAACTTACATTATATATTGAATGAGAATACATGGGAAAAGATAACATTATTTAATATAACTGTTTTCTTTTTCTAACCAGGGTAACAAACCAACCAAAAAACAACAACAACAACAAAACAACAACAATTAAAAAAAAAAAAAAAAAAAAAAAAAAAATGTAACACATGCCTTAATTTACATTTTCATGAATTTACATTGATTGCAACTACTGATCCAGCTAAAGGGCTTTTAAAAAGCGACAAGTTCTAGTTTCTAAGCAATACAAAAGCAAACTGCTTCAATATTTATATACTGACGAATGCCTTTATAAGACAATGATATAAAACTTCACGTTTCAAAATAGACCTTAATGTATATTCAGGGAGTTGTAAAACAATATGATTAAGCAATCAGTAATCCTCACCTAACTCATAATATATAAATCTTTATTTCTTTAATACATTATTTTGATAATAAAAATACATATAATTAGATACTATTTTGAAAGAGACAAATCCTATCCAACGAGGAACTTCTCTCTTATTGGAAATTTTCAAAGTATAAAAGTATTATAATAATTGTACATTAAGTGTATGTGGGAATTTTATGCTAAGGCTTTTAACATGTATCAAATTTTGACTTCGTTAAAAGAGCAGCTTTCCAAGAATCATTTCTAAAGTAGTTTCACCACAAGGCACATATCTTCAAGTAGCGACAACCGTTAATTACGCAAAAATCCTACTAAATAAGTGTGATAAGAAACAAGTTATTTAATGGTTATAAGTAGATATTAAGTAGATGCTTAATTTTTTAAGCAGATACCGAAGTTGTGATGTCATTGTTGTTATAACAAGGAAGTTTGCCAGCAATATAAATACGTCCCAAAAGAAACATCTATCTTCATCTAAGAGTTAAGACGCATCATCTGTGGTCATGGTAATTGCTTTTTTAAGCATGCTTACATCTAATTTGATGTGGTAGGAGAATGAGTCAATAATAATTTTGCTTTGTTTTTGAATTATATCATACGTTTAATTATATCATATATCATCAGTTTACAAACTTGTGAATATTTAATTTATTGTGTATTTTTTTTTCAGCTAATATTTGCCTTTTCTACATTTTAATCAAACTTGATAGAAGTGCTTTCATGTTATAAATTTAAAAAAGTGCACGAAAAGGAAAAGTAACTTCCTCATATATATATATATATATATATATATATATATATATATATATATATATATATATATATATATATATATATATATATATATATATATATATATATATATATGGTATAATAATTGCATATTTTTTTAAGTTCTGAAAGTCATCATTAAGTTTATTTTTTTAAAATTAGCTCAACTCCCGTTACCTCACTGTTCTCTTCCTGATTTGTCTTCTGACAATAGGCCAAACAGAAGCATGGTCCCGAAGGCGTTCTTCCAGATCTAGAGGTTTTAGTAGAGCAGCAAGGGTTGCAGACACTTTGATTACAATAGCTGATATTGCACAAGTATTTCGTGACATGTTTAGGAAAGACAGAAAGCGATCAGTAGAAAACGTATGTTTTAATATTCTCGTAATATCAAAATTCACTAATATCCCAAGTTCTAATAACACCGATCCCTTTTTAAATAGTTTCTCCTTTTTAAAAAAAGTTTTATACCTGATGCCCATTTGTTAACTTTTTTCTCCAGTTTTTTTTTTTTGTTATTGTTTTTATAAAAGGAAAATAATGTGAAGGATATTTTGATAGTTAACTATTGCAAACAATATAATTATGAATATTTGAAAATCGTACAGCTGATAAATACACTCATGCAATTTGCTTCATTTCAGTTTCACTAATGATTCCTTTTTATTTACTTCTTATTTAAATGAAGTCTGTTTATCAAAAGTAGGTTCATAATCGTAAACTTTAGGGGATTGATAAAACATGTATGCCTAAAACTATAAACAAAATATCCAAGACATAGCATTTGACTGAATTAATCTTACTGTTAGAAAAGTATTCTGTCAATTTTTAACGTAATCAAGTTTTTTTTTATAAGAAATGGATAAAATAACGATTATCTGTAATTAAACTTTCTTCAATGCAGGCAATACCTAATATAGATATATGTAGATTCAACACTCTCGATTTGAATGATGACAACAATGTTACCAAGGAGGAATTAGACATTCTGATGCAAAGCACAGGGTTAGAGGAGCTGGAGGAACTATTTGAACAGCTAGATCAAAACAATGGTGTGTATATTAAACATACATTGTCCTTATTGAAATAGATTCTTGCTGCTTACAAGTAACCAAATGGATATAAGAAAAATGAATCATAGTAATGAGAAAATATCTAAAAGTTTATGACACATAGTAAAAATAATCATTTAGAAAAAGAAGATGCACAATTTCCAAACGAAATTAGATTCACTATTTACCTAAATTAAAAAAAAATGTTGGCGAAATCACAATTTTCTACCTCACAGATGATACCGTGACAAAAGAGGAGTACATGGACTTGTATGAGGAAGTATGTACTGGGGACCTGAAAGGTGGGTTTATCTACTTTCTAAGTGTCAATTTGACATTTTTTATGACATATTTATGCATTTTTTTTAAATTTTGAATTCATATAGATACTTATTGCACCCCATTATTAGTAAACCTACATATTTATCCATGGGAAGTAAAATTAATTCAAAACCTCTTTCATGAAAAGAAATCTCTTGATGTGGCCTTTAATTTGACATTAAGTTATATCGACATCGTTTTATCAATCAAGAGTATATATTTTCATTTATTAATTGATTTTAATTGATTGGATATTTTGCTAGAAAAAGACATTAATGGCAACCTTACAACAAAACTTTATGATAAACGTGATGACGTCAACTTTTCTTTCGTGAACTTGCCTTATTCATTGAACAATATATCATTATCTCCTGTATATAGAGTACATATCTCCTGGTTGAGTTGATAAGCAAAAACATGCTCTACTACTGACATTTTCTAAAACGAGCCAAGCTATTGAAAAATACACATGTAATTGGATTATACAGGGATATCAATAATCCCGGTAAAAATCAACATTTTACAAAATCTATGGTCGATACAATGACCTGGTTAGCAAATGCAATTGTCAAGTCCAATGTTGGCTGACGTTTTCATACAAATTGTGAGGTCAATTCTTTGGCTTTGAATCATCTTCAGACTTTTCCATTTGCTCGATCTTGTCAAGGAGCACACGGCAGGCGTGGTCCCTGACAAGGCATGCTTACTCTTCCATGGAACCTGATCCAACCTTTGTTGTATTTAGAGGTCCGTGTTCCCTCTACCCAAATTTTTGTGTTCAAATGTACTTTAGAGCTAGATTATTGTTCGTTATCTTCATAATTATTTTTTCCCACCTTCCTAAGGCAGTAAATGAAGTTTATCGAATCATATCAATAATAATGATAAAGAAAGGGTCATACTTTATAGTGAATTTCATTTCGCTTAATTTGTAAACTGACACATGATAACTTTATTCATTGATTGTTTTTAAAATTACTTTTTTCATCTAGCATACAACCAGCAAAACGGCAAATCAGACCTGGAGGAAGACGAATATACAGAAGACACAGTTTGAAAATAGTTAGAGGATTTTGAAACTTTTTAAATTTTCTTGCTTAAAAAACAGAGTACATTAGAATAACTTTCACTATAATATGTATTGCTTTCCCAAAGCAGTATTTCTACACAAATAATAAAACAAAACACTGAAAATTACCATAAATTACTTTGCCAAATTTACAATTTAAAATATGTACATGTAATGTTGTACTTTTATTATTTTCTCTTCATTTTTTATGAAACCTTTTGTATAATCCTTAAATAAAATGTTCTAAATCTTAATATTCTTTTTTATTTGTTTCTAACAGTATGTGCTAAGCAATATATTTTTTAACATCTTCACAGAAAGTCAAGATTGATAGTTTTTGTAACATGAAAGTTTTGAAATTTATAGAACGAGATGCGTGTTTCCTAATATGAGGTGAGATGAATAAGAATTTGTGTGTTTATATGTAGTTCTGAAATGCAACATCTTTTGTTATTGGCAATTTTTAAAAAAGAAAATTAATAGTCGAAAAAATTTATTTGCATAATATTCAATTCATTATAAATCATCATTCCGAATTAAAAAAACTACACATGATACAGAAGTATAAAAGATTAGTTTTGGTAAGAACTGTAGGATTTAACTGAGATAAAGACACATTTTCTTGGGGTTTTGTGGCCATTTGGAATTTCATAAGTACCGATACATAACATTCCTCAAAGAAACGCTGGATTTATTTGCAGTCTCAAGACTCTAACTGGCAACTAATTTAGTCGCCAGGGCTGTTGGTCTGCATTAAGTCCTTTATCTCAAATCATATTATCTTGATACATCATGTTGCAATGCGTAACATTCGATTATATTAAAAGAATCCTATTCAATGTACACACCATCATTCTGGTCTAGTTTATCAAATAGTTCCTCCAATACCACTAGCACTGTGTTTTGTATCAGGGTGGCAAATTCTTCTTCGGTATAATTATTGTCTTCATTCAAATCGAGTTTGGTGAATCTGCAGATACATGTATGTATGCTAGGAATTGCCTGTAAAAGAGCTACAAATATAGGTACTCATTTCTTTATCCCTTGCATATTCAAAAGATTGAAGTAAATTGAGGAACCTTTATGAAATTCCCCAGAATTTACTTATCCTGAGGCATAAATCACTAGCATACTATAAAACCTGGTCTTCCCCCATGACATGGCCTGGCCTCTATTTTGGCATATAATTTTACTCCAATCCAAAAATACCTTACCTCAGTCATTTCTTTACCAGGATAAGATTGATTTCACTGATTTTTTATTGGATTGAATTATCCCCCTGGATCTAAATATAATTAAGATTTATGGGTATATAGTTTTTGCCCTGTCCGTCCGTCTGTCTGCCTGCCTGTTTGTCTGCACAAACTTTAACCTTGCCCATAACTTTTGATTGGTCGGAGCTATGGCTTTGTTTCACATGTGTATTCCTTGTGGCAAGACCTTTCATTGGGTACAACATATTTGACCTCTTGACCTTGGAGTTGACAGACTTTTGCAAACAAAATACCAAACTTTAACTTTGGCAATCACTTTTCAACAGTTGGTATTAAGGCTTACATAGGTGTTTTCCTTCTGGAAAAAAAAACTTTTCTTTGAATACAAATAATTTTGACACTTTAATCAGGACCTTGGAGTTTGACCTACTATTAAAAACTTTAACTTGGCCATAACTTTTGAGCGATTGGTTCTTGGGTTTTCACATTTCACAGGTATATTAAATTCACTGAGACAATTCCTTTCTGATCTTCGTTTAAAACCTTTAAGAATAATAGATACTGTATATAGGCATTTTATGAGTACCTTAAAATGTTTTGATAAATGCCAAACCTACATTTTCTGCTGATCTCTTTCCAATTTTCCCAAAAAAATTCTACTAAAAACGTGCGATATTTTCAAGTGTGACTTCTTGTTCAGGAATCGTATCTAATGTAAGATCTCTAGCAAAACACACCAGTGTCCCTGTCTCTGTATGGCCAATTGTAAGGAGGCCGGTCAGGAAAAGAGCATCGTTATACCGGAACTTGAGCTTGATTTTAAAAAAACCACTAGCTACGATTGATTAAGCAATTCAGAGAAGAGAAGTCTAACATGAAACTGTATGAAATTTTTAAAATAATTTCTAAAATAAAAAAACGCAATGTGAATATTTAATATTATTTACAATGTAATAAAACAAATATTGGTACATTCTGGAGAAAGAAAAAAGAGAACCAAGGACCTTTACGGTCAACACTGTATAGGATCCATTGACGTATAAAATAAAAACAAAATAAACTGATAGATGAAGCTATGTTGCCTAGAAGGAAGAAAATGGGATGAATAGAGATCAACAAAATGATAAGTCTAGTACTCACCAACAAATCATAAAGTAAATCTATTTACTTGCCTGTACTTGCCCCATTTGTCATATCACCATGCAGCCTAAACAAAAAATAATGCTTTAGCACTATTAATAAGCCCATCTTATTTTCCCTCTCATAATGGTTTCTCTTGGTCTTTGATGAACATCATTTGTCCAAAGATAAGGTATTTTGTATCTTTTTTTAATTGTCTACCTGACCATTAAAAAAAAACTATGACAGTACTTTTCATATTATACATGTATATTATAATTTTTTTGTATAATTCTCGCTCAATTGACCTTTTACATTATTTACAGTGATTATTTATCATAGGTGAATAGGGCAATTGCCTTTCTCATCAGAATAAAAATTCACAGAGCCGTTCTCTGCACCAGAACACGTTACCAAGTATCCAGAATTTCAAAATTCTGGTAAAAATACCCATGCCTATGTCAATTTTGTACTCTGTTTGCCACCTAGTTAGGCTGGAGTATCATAATAGGTTTTTAAAACAACATCGCATTTTTACTGTAGATTCAACACCCCACTAGAACCAGAACCCCTGAACCAAGGGCCTTTAAATTCACAATTTTTGAAGAGGCATATTTGATTCTCATTCTTACGTACTAAGTTGAAGACAATTTTCAAAGATTAAATGCATTTTCAATATTTAATCAATAGACTCGTGCCCTAACACCAGAGGAGTCCGTGAAATTCACAATTTTGGAAAATAGGTACCTTGCTCATCATAGCTTTGCATTTAGTTTGATTGCTTAATATACAGGAGAGCAGAGAAAATTAATGTATTTTCACCCGTGTAATCATTATAACCTTATACTCACACCAGAACCCCTGACTCACGGACCACAAATTAAAAATTTTGGAAGAGATAACCTTATCATTATTTACTTACTTAATCTGATTAATACACAGAGAAGAAGATTTTCAAAGAATTAATACATTTTTACGATAAAATCAGAACAGCCCCTACTTAACATCAAAATCTCTGACCAATGAAATTAACAATTTTGGAACATGCACCCTTATTCACCATAGCTATGCACATAGTTTGTTTGCTTTATACTTAGGAGCAGAGGAGATTTTTAAAGAAATACATATGATCTTATGAGTCCCACCCTTGCACCAGAATCCGTGACCATGGGGATGTGAATTTCGTAATTTTTGTAGAGGTCTCAATGCTTTCTAAATATGCCAACAGTTTGACTGCTTGATGTTCAGAAATAAAGAAGATTTTTAAAGATTGCATTTTAATTTTGATGGTTTTAGCCCCCCTCCCTTTCAGGTCCTGTATTTTTCATTTCTTTCCTTAATCCATGCTACATCCCGAAATTGATAGAGCGGTTTTAATGAAGAAGATGAAAATGTTTAAATGTTAATGCACGTCGCACGACGACGGACGAAAATAAATAGCAATGGGTCATCTGAATGACTCAGGTGACTTAAAAAAAATACTAGAAATATAATTGAACTAGTTTATACCATAAACAAACTGAGCATAATAAAGTGAGAAGCAAAGCAATTACCATGTCTTTTTTGAGGGCTTACAACTATTTATATAGGTGGCAAACTTCCTGTTTATTAAGACAATGGCGTCAGTAATTAAACCAGTCCAGATTACAACCAGTCCTTACCAGTTTATACTTATCATTAGTAACTTCCAAGCACCTTGTCCACATTAATGTAAAAGTACTTTGGCTAAATAAACTTTTATCCCTAATTAAAGATCAGTTTGTGAAAGTGAGAGTACTTGTGATCGATATGTAGGAAGCTGTTCTTTTGACGGGGTCAAATATGTAAAACATGTAAGAAACTTTCCTTTTACTGTTGTAGTACTTCAGTTGACCACAGCAAGGGATCTGTAGGCAGCGTGAACTATATTTTCAGAGGCAGGAGGTATGAGCGTATGTTGGTCGGCTGTGAGATCCCATTAGGTCCAGGAATCCAGGGATAGGCCTTGGTGGGGGTCCTCTAGGTCAAACTCTGAATTGAAGATATGTAACATTATGTTCAGCCCCCATGCATAAACATGGTCAAAGGGGGTGTGTGTCCTCCCTCCTCCCCAAGCAAACGTACATTTAAGTATAAATTATAAAATAGTGCCTTTATTCTAAAAGTTTGGCTTATAAAGCTTATTTGAACTGTAATTGGAGAAAGTTATCCTCTATAGACATAGTCAACCCCCCCCCCCCCCCCTAAAAAAAAAATCGCATACATTTTCGTGTCAATTGTCAACTTATGCAATTTATTTATTTAATATTTTCTCGTTTACATTGTAACTTATTTGATTGTCCTCGAGATGTGATTTGAGTCATTTATTGACAAAAACCAGCTAGTGAGATCTTAAAGATAATTTCTGTGACTTAAGATTGATTTTTTGTTGTTTAACGTCCCTCTCGACAATTTTTCGCTCAAATGGAGATGCCACCACTTGCCGTTGGAGGGCTACAAATTTTGACGTATACTCGGCACTCAGGGCCATTGAGCAGTGAGGGATCTTTTTCGTGCCAGAACTTACTGCGACACGGGACCTCGGTTTATACGGTCTCATCCGAAGGACCGGTCTCCAAGTCCCGCAGTGGGATTCGAACCCTTGACGTAAGAATCAATTCCTTACACCGCAACTCT